AAACTGGCGAATCTGAGGGCTCCTGGCTACAACATCGAAGATGGAAGGCTCTACAAACGATCTTACAATGGCACGCTACTTCGATGCCTTCATCAAGATGAGGCCGAGGTCGCAATGGAGGAAGTGCACAGTGGCACTTGCTCAGCTCACCAGGGACCCTTCTCCATGTCCCGAAGGCTCATCCTCCAGGGCTACTTCTGGCCAACCATGGCCAGAGATTGTGCTGACCTTGCCCGGAGGTGCACCGCATGTCAACATTTCCAGAAAGCCCCCGGCAGGCCAGCGGTCAACTATGCCCCCATCAGCACATCTGTCCCTTTTTCTCGATGGGGGATAGACCTTGTGGGCCCTCTGCCGAGGGGTACCTCCAACAACAGGTACATCATTGTGGCCATCGACTACTTTACCAAGTGGGTGGAGGCTGAGCCCCTCGCCAGTATCACAGAGGTGAAATGCCGTCATTTTGTCCTCAAGAACATCCTCACAAGGTTTGGCGTCCCCCAGCAGATCATCTCCGACAATGGGACACAATTTGAGGCAGCCCCCTTCTGTTTCCTTCTGGAGGCATGGGGCATCAAACACACCTTCTCCTCCGTTGCCTACCCTCAAGGCAACGGGCAAGTAGAGAATGCCAACCGGACCTTGCTCGAGGGCCTCAAAAAGAAGCTGGAGGCCGAGGGCGGTGGCTGGGTGGAAGAACTCCACAACATCCTTTGGGCCTACCGCACCACCCCTCGGCGAGCAACAGGTGAAACACCCTTCTCCCTATGCTACGGTTTTGAAGCCAAAGCTCCTACGGAAGTCACTCTTCCCACCCGGAGGGTGATCCAATATGACCCCGAGGTCAACGACAACAACATGGCCCTCGACTTCCACCTCATTTCAGAACGCCGGGAGCAGGCCTTCATCCGGGCAGAAAACTACCGAAGGCAAGTCAAAAGCTACATCAACGCCAAAGTTCGCACCAGGGAATTCCAAGTGGGGGACTATGTCCTCCGGAGGAGGGAAGCCAACCAACCAACCGAGGGAGGAAAAATGGCACCAAAATTCGAAGGCCCCTACATCATAGCAGCCATCATCAAACCCGGGACTTACAAGCTCAAACGCCCCAACGGGAAAGAAGTCCCTAGGCACCGGAATGTACACCATTTAGTTAAATTTTACCAATAAGGTAAGAGCGGCCAAGCCCTCATAACTAATGAATGTACTATCCTATGGCCCAAGGCCTCCACTTTTGAAGAATGAAGATACATTCAAGACATCGAGCCCTCATACTGACTACAGGCCCCCGGCCTCACCACGAGAAGAACCCCCTCCGGCACCAAGTGCCGAGGGCGGACACCATCAACACCTACAACAACAGTGAAAACACCACGTGTTTTCAGTCAAGACCCCTCGGTACCAAGTGCCGAGGGAAGGAACTCCTATCACCAACAACAAGGAACGCCATGTGTTTCATTTCCCTTCGGCACCCAGTGCCGAGGGTACATCCCCACCTTCAAAATCAAAAAAGAAAAGATGAGAACACCAAGTGTTCTTACAGAAGACCCTTCGGCACCCAGTGCCGAGGGTACACCTCCATCATCAAACATCGAAACGAAGAAAAAACACCAAATGTTTCACGGAAGACCCCTCGGCACCCAGTGCCAGGGATATGCTCTCCTATCAACTTCTGTTGGGAAACACCAAGTGTTTCCTCCGAGGGCCCTCCGGCACCGAACACTCCAATCAAAACACTAGGTGCTTCATTTGAAGACCCTTCGGTACCAAGTACCGAGGAAAGATACCTCCATCAACTACAACAAAAGAGAACACCAAGTGTTCCTACAGAAGACCCCTCGGTACCAAGTACCGGGGGCTACACATCGAAACTAACACCAAGTGTTGTTTCTAAAAGCCGTACCCCACGAGGACGCATATACTGAAGGCGCCACCATCGGTGGCAGCGGCACGTAGTGCCCCCGGCCATTTGCAACTAGTGTGCAAATGAAAACCCTTCCTTGAAACGCTTTCCGCGTCATTACCCCCAGGGTATGACAGACATGTGAAATGCCCAGGATTCGACTTTCAAAAACGGAACGCTATCCGCGTCATCACCCCAAGGGTATGACAGGCACGAGAAATGCCCAGGATTCGACTTCCAAACCGAAACGCTCCCCGCGCCACCACCCCAAGGGTGTGGCAGGCCACGGACTATGTCTAGCGCCGAGGGGACGACTTTCAAAAATGAGGCGCTTTCCGCGCCATCCCCCAAGGGGAGGCAGGTTACGGACCACCATATCTTGTGCCCAGGAAACGACCCTCGATCCCCTCGGAACTCGGAAGGTTAACCCGAGGGAGGAGAGCCATTGGTGTATTCTGATGGTCTCCTAATAGGCCCAGCCTTACCAAGAAACCAAGTTTCTTGATGCCTTCCCTTCACCACCAACAAAAAAAAAGGGTGAAGGGGAGTAGACTCAACGAGAAATCAAAGAGTACACTCCAACAGATCACAATATGCCGAGGGCTCCCCACAGGAACACCTCCGGTAACTGAAGGCTCCTATTTCCCGGAGGATACTACTCGAACAAATAGCATCAAGAAACGGCTAAGTCCACTACCTGGTCACCTCCGGTCACACAAACACCGAAGGCTTCAACAATACAAAGGGACTGGACTATCCAAAGTACACTAAAACGGTACCTTCAAACAAATACCGAAGGCATCTGTTACGCACTAGTACCGAGGGCCCTTACCCCATGACAAGGGTCAAATTCTACAACTTTTAAAGTGTATGCCGAGGGCACACACTCCTCATTGGCTTTCTTCACAACAACAGGATTCAACATCAATTTATGCTTAGAAAATATTCTAAGTCCTGAATGAGCAGCCCCCGGGCATCTCGCAAAGTAATGTAGAGTCAGAGGGCACCTATCACCCGAAGGCTACACAAGGAAGCAGCACTTGAAAAAATTCTAAGTCCTAAAGATTGGGCCCCCGGCCCAATCAATATTACAGCCAAGGGAATATGGTAACCGAAGGCCATGCAATACAACAACACTTAAAAAAAATAATATTCTGTCCTAAATGAGCAGCCCCCGGGCATCTCGCAAAATGGTGTGGAGTCAGAGGGCACCTATCACCCGAAGGCTCCTAAGGGAAAATCTACACTTAGAATATTTTCTAAGTCCTACATGTTTTTCCCCCGGTCAACTACTCATACATCAAGAAGGGATGCCATCTCCCGAAGGCTCCCAAGGGAAAATCTACACTTAGAATATTTTCTAAGTCCTACATGTTTTTCCCCCGGTCAACTACTCATACATCAAGAAGGGATGCCATCTCCCGAAGGCTACCAAGGGAAAAACTGCACTTAGAAATCTTTCTAAGTCCTACATATTTCACCCTCAACTCATAAAGGGACCCAACAGCCGAAGGCTACCTATCAATCGAAGGTTACAGTACACAAGGAATCAACACTGAAGAAAAAATTCTAAGTCCTAAAGAATTGGCCCCCGGCCTAATCAGTATTTCAGTTGGGGCTCCACAGTAGCCGAAGGCTACATGACATACTACACTTGCAAAAAATTTCTAAGTCCTGTACATTGGGCCCTCGGTCCAATATTCACACATCACGAAGGGATGCCATATCCCGAGGGCTCTCAAGGGAAAATCTGCACTTAGAAGTTTTTCTAAGTCCTAGGAATTGGGTTACTACAAAAACCCGAAGGCCCATGCCGTGCTACACTTAGAAAAATTTTCTAAGTCCTAATTCCTGCCGAACCCTCGGTTGCATATCCAGCAGAGGGTGCCCAACTACCGAAGGCTTCCAGGGGCAAGCTACAGTCAGAAAATATTCTAAGTCCTAAAACATACATTCAAAAAGGAGAAGACACACACTCAAAAATACCGAAGGCATACACTCAAGGAAAACGGGGGCATACATTCAAGAAGAAAGGAATTGGAGAAAACAAGTCGTATATACAAAGCCCGAAGGCAATCATTCAATCATCAAGAAAAGGAGCAAATGTAATTACGAGTAAAGGTTACAAACAGGCCGGAGCCAAAGGATCAATAGTGTCACCATTACAAATAAATGTTTACTAAGTGCATATTACATATCAACAACATCATTCCCGGGGGCCGCCTCCCCCGATGGCTTCGAGGTAACCTCCGTCCCGGTGGCGTCCTCGGCATCATCATCGACGCCCATCATCATGGAATCATGAATCACCGGGCGCTCTTCTCCCTCGGGGAGGGGGACCCTCACGTCTGGCTGCAACGGGGGGAGGCCATACACAGAGGGGTTGAACTCATCCAGGGAGGTGCCATAATGCCGGGCGAGCCTCCGGTAAACCAGATGCTGGGTGAAGAACTCGCCAGCTTGATAGTAGGTGTCACCCCTCTCATTCATCCAGTCGAGCCCGGGGCCCCTCACCCACTCCTCGATCGAGGCCTTCACCACAGAGGCCACCCACTCGCTCTGGCCCTCGGCCTTCCAGCCCTCGGAGGTGAATCCAGCGATGGCCTCTTCTCGGGCTTTGACAACAGCTTCAGCCTTGGCCTTCTAGGCGTCCTCAACCACTTGCTTTCTCTCCTCGGCCGCAACCCTCTCGGCCTCTGCCCTGCCCTCGGTCTTCCCGTCATCTCTGGCCTCCTTCAGCCGCAGCTCCGCTTGCCGAAGGGCGTCCTCCAATTTGCACACCTCCCGGAGGGCAGCGTCCTTGTCGTGGATCAACTCCTTCACGGACTTCTCTAGCTCGGCCTTATGACGGCACCACTCCTCTCGCCTTCGGGCCTGCTCACCGAAGGTTATACACGCCTGTTGAATAACGGACAGAGGGTTCAGACGGGCATTGGGATTATAACAAGTGTTAAGATAAAGTCAAAGTATAAACACTTACAGTCAGAGCTGATCGAAGGGCCTTGGCTTCGAGGGCGTCATCGTCATAGGTGGAGAGGGCCTCCTTATCCATCATCGAGGTAATCCCCCTCAGGAAAGACATCGGCTCGGCTGAACCGTGCAACACAGATGCCCCCGGAGCGAGGGAGAGCTGAATAATCTCCCGAGGCAGGTTCCCCGGGGGAAGGTCTGTTTGAGCCAGAGTGTCAATGGCCGGGGTGTCAGCGGAGGGCTGATCATCGATTACTATGAGGGGGGCCGCCTTTTCAACGGCGCCCCCAACAACCTTCTGGTTCTTGATCGGGGGCTCCACCCCCTTGCCTCCCTTTTTCTTCTTGGCTGCCACATCGGCCTTCGGCCCCCCGGCCACAGTAGCGGGAGCAGCAGCAACTGAAGGCTCCACAGCCTCCTTCGGGAAAACCTCATCAATGGGCTTTTGACCCGAGGGCTCCTTCTTCTCCTTCTTCTGGGCCTGCGCCCTCTCCTTCTTCTTTTTCATTGCGAAGAGAGCCTCCATACCTGCAAAACAAAGCAAAGAGAATATTAACCCGAAGGGTTCATACCACAAACAACTATCGGGATGCAAAATGAAAGTGCCTAAGTATGAGACTAAGAGCCCTCGTAGACTACCTCCTGCTCCCCCGAAGGCCTCAGCGAAGACGGGGTACTTCTCGTCTGTTTCCCCGATGAACCGGTACCGTTGGAACCCGAGGGCATGCAAGTCTTCCTCAAAAGTGAATTCTTTGATTGTCACGACCTTCTTCTTGCCCTCCGGGATCTTGGCGAGTTTCAGGCCATCCTTCTCTAGGGCAGCACTCCCCACCATCTCGTGGCGCCGAAAGCGGTCTCGTAGCTCCCTCGGGAAGGGATTCTCGGCCAACCGGACGTAGCACCATTTGTCTTTCCAGCCCTTATTGGACGAGGGCGCCTCGGTAAACAGCTTGAACTTCGCTACCTGCTGCAGATTGGTGAAGCCCTCGGCATTCGCGTGCCCCCCTCGGCACAAGTTGAAGCTTTGGAAGAAGAGGTCCAAGCTTGGGGTAACATCCCTCATCCGGCACAGGTGCAGAAAGCCAGCAATGTATGAATGGCTGTTGGGGGTAAGTTGGCAGGGGATGAGTCCAACGAACCTGAGGTACTCCCGGAGAAATGGGTGCAGGGGGAACCGGAGGCCCATTGACACCGACATGATGTGGACGGCAATGCATTCCTCGGGTGGCCGGGACAGCAGATCATCGACGCCTGGCTCCACCACTACGGCCGAGGGCCCAACGTGCAGCTGCGTGACGTACAAATCAGCCCTGTCCGCCTTCGACTTGATATCGAGGGCCTCGGTGTTTAGCCAGGTATACCCCTCTGGCATTTCAACAGGCCCCCCAGCACCAGCGGCAACACCCTTCTTCTTGGGGGCAGCCCTCTGCGACTTCATCTTCTTTTTACCGGGGGCTATTCTCAGAGGCGTCGGGTCCAGCGGCCTGGAGGTACTAGGCTCACCACAGTCAGTCCGAGGGGGTGGCACAGCAACAGTAACCGTCATCGCCTCCTTTTGGGCTTCGTCCTCCGCCACCTGATACGCGAGGGCTAATTCTTCGTCTTCACACTCCTGTTCGAAGCCCTCGGCTTCCACTTCAGCAGCGAGGGCCTTCTGCAACTCCAGGGCTACGGCTTCGTCATCAGCAACCGAGGGCGCACTGCTACTTGACTCAACATCGGAAGCAACCTCGTCCTCAACCGAGGGCTCCCTCGAGATATTCTGTGAGTCGCTTTGAGACGACATCCTTGCTGTACTTAGGCTAGGATTCCTAAATCGAGGGCTCTCTACGACATCCTTGCTGTACTTAGGCTAGGATTCCTAAATCGAGGGCTCTCTACTTAGACGACATCCTTGCTGTACTAAGACCCAAACATAGGGTGATACATATACTTATACATCTTTACCCCAAGTTACAAAAATACATATTGGTACTTATATACACTTGAAAATACCCGACCCGTAGGTCATTGTTTATTTGGGAAAGATAGTAGTAGTCAATGTCCTTAACTTAAAACTCAACCCACCCATAGACCTATGAGTGTATAGGACTCCTCCTATCCAAATCAAATAATCATAAGGACACCGCCCGGTCCTGAATTACTAAATAGTAATCTATGAGTTTTGGGGATACCTCCTGATCCTTGGGTACTCCACTCTATATAACCGAGTTTTGAGGATACCGCCCGATCCTTGGGTACTTCACTTGACATAACCGAGTTTTGAGGATTCCTCCTGATCCTTAGGGTACTCCACCCGACATAACCGAGTTTTGAGGATACCGCCCGATCCTTGGGTACTCCACCCGACATAACCGAGTTTTGAGGATACCTCCCGATCCTTGGGTACTCCACCCGACATAACCGAGTTTTGAGGATACCTCCCAATCCTTGGGTACTCCACTCAACCTATGATCTACCACATATCATACTAGACAGGGTCTATATCATAATCAATAAACAAGACTAAACCAAGTCTTAAGGCCTAAGCAAATCATCCATGCAATTCATGCATTCAAAATTTACGTATGGGCAATATAAGGCCAAACCGGCGCCGATTCAAATCTGACCGGTGCGGGTTCATAGGCAAATAATATGAGCCGAGCTAAACCCGCTCAAACCGGCGCTGGTTCTATGCATGACCGGGGTCGATTTCCCTTGGGCAACCGGTTAACTCTCGGTTGACCCGCTGTTTCAAATCCAAAATGTGTCAAACTTAATCACAACATGTATTAACTTATAAACAACCATATTATGCACCATTTATCTCTAAACATGTCACATATATTTTTATAAACGTTTTCATATTACAAATCGTGCATATCTCAATAGATCATTTCATACAAGCCTAATCACTTTGGTTAATCACATGTTTAATATCATTTAAACATATTTATGAACACATATAACATTTACTTAGGTAATCTCATGCTTAACCCAAAAGTTACAAGACATTAAGTCATCCACTCACCTTAAATGAGCTTTAGCCCGTTCTACGCTCCTCGGTCGGACTCCGGCGAAACTCCGGCGAAACTCCGGCGAACTCTAGAAACACTTTATTTATGCTCCTAACATGGTTTTATCATCACAAAACTCATATCAATACAAATAACCTCTAAAAGGTTATTTTCCGGTGAACCGGTCGTTTTGGCTTCTAAATCCGTTCTTGGACTTAGAACTACCTTCCAATCCCTCATTCTACATTTATAAACATGTAGAACAAGCCTAGGGGTTCCTCATATGATGTATAATCCATATGGTAGCTAAAGAGTAGAGGAAAAGTTAATATAAGATCATTACCTTAATCACCACACTTTTTCCTCACTTTTTCTTCCTTAAGTCTTCCTCCTTAGACTTCTTTGTGTTGAGCTCGAAAATGGAGGATGGTATGGAGTATTTTCAGAGTTTTTTACTCCTTGGATGGTAGCTGGGTCGAGCTAATGAGGTTAGGATTGATTGAGAATGCCTTTTTGGCATTTCTCTCAATCATACATGGAAGGGGGTCCACTCCCTTAAATGTGTTGACTCCCAATTCATCTCATGGCTCATTTCCCATGTGATGGTGCGGCTCCCTTGTCCAAATACAAGGCTAAAAACGTGGGTTTGCCCTCACTTATGTGGGAGTTCATCCCTTTGTGTCCCGAACTGTACAATCGGCTCCGAAAGTTGTATTTTTCGGACTGTTTTAATTATATTTTATTTTATCGGGTCAAATAAAATATATTATGTGTTTCCCATCATTATGGACTCTTATAATGAATATACATTCCTCATCTTTAATTTAGAAGTCTCCGAAATCCGTTTCGGGCTGTTATCTCATAAATTACCAATACCGGTAATTGGGCCTCGTTTGACCAATGGGTCAACCCTATGCCCTTCCTATGGACCAACTAAAATATCCACCACCATATAAATATTATCTAGACCAAGATGAATATAATATGTGGTACCGGGATTATTGGGTGGTCCCCGCTCCCAATGCGGGCCCCGCGTGCAATTCACTATTCACGCAGATGTGATAACAAAAATTTTACAAACTTGCAAATTCATAAATCATTATTCAAGGTTCATTACAAGATTTACTAAAAGTAAATATACTTGGGCATAGTGTTACACTTACCCCCTCGAAGGAACATCAGCCCTCTTCATCCACAGTGAAGGCTATACAACGGCCAGAACGAAGAGCGCCCATAACGGCCAAAAACAAAGAACCAAAGCAAGGACGCCCATAACGGCCAAAACAGAGAGACCCCATAGCGGTCCCACAACGGTTAGAAAATGTCAAAACCATGTAATCTACTCTCCCTCACTTCATCTACATCTCAGCTCAGAGAGTGGGAGACTCCTGATGGAGTATATGGGCCTGGACCCCAGGACCCACATACTCAGAAGAATGAGAGGCACAACTGTCACCCAGTGGGGACTCCGTCGGCCAGGTGGCCCCCCATCGGCCAGAAAGATATCAACTTAGAACATGGTCCGGAAGTCAGGAGAACCGGGTGTCCCCGCCGGCCGGGGCTCCGTCGGCCATGGCCGCATCGGCCATGGCTCCGTCGGCCACAAAAGGCTCCCAGAACCGGATTTCGTACTTAGTTATTTCTACATATCTTGTACTCAGCCCAATAGTGGCCCAATTGTAAATGGGCCTCCCAAGCCCAAGACTTGGGAGTCCAGTCCTAATTTCCTCTATAAATACTCCCCTTGGGGGTAGTTGTAGGGGGTTCACAAATCATCTGTTGCAAGGAATTATTGCATTTCTCTCTCTAGCTCTCACTTCTCTCTAGGAATTAATACTCCACCAGTCCTATTTTGGGAATAAAAACATAATAGTCCTATTTTGGAATATACAAATGTTTTTAGTCTTATTTTGGGTAATTTCTCTAGTAATTTTAGCCAGAGTACCAAGAGGTAGTCCAGGGAAAGATTTTCTTGATTAAGTCTGTCTTTTCTGTGAGTATCCCTTTAATTACCAGTGCATGCTGATAGTTTTAATGTTGTGTGGTGATTATTGTAAGTTCCAAAGTTTAGTTTGTTTGAGGACAAACACAAGCTTAAGTGTGGGAGAATTTGATAAGTCCATATTTCAACACACATTCGATGTGTATTGAGATCAGTTTTTGATAGTGTTTCAAGCTTAAATGTGTCACAAGACTCATAATTAGCTCAAGTCTTAGCTTACCAGGTTTTGGTTTGCATTTGGTATTTTTGGAATTAAAATCAGGAATTTGAGCCCGACACCGGCATTGGATAATTAATCATGAGGACTCGAGACACATTTGAGAGTTATTGAAGGTCCACGATTCAATAAAGTAGTGATTTTGAAGTCAAGAGAATTCAAGAATCAAGTATGAGATCAAACGGGGACGAATAGAGCTTGAACATGTCAATTAGGATGACGTTGTGTCAATCATTCGAGCATGTCTTTTTGTAGAAGCATCCAAAGTGCACGATTCAAGTTCCATATGAAAGCTAATTTCAAGGGATACAAATCGTATGAAGACGTACACCATGACGAGAATGTTAGAGGAGCAAGGTTAAAACAAAAGAGGAAGTCGGATAATCGATGTTGAGATTTCAGGATGCGACCTTCCACCATTTTATTCATATCTTTTGATCAGATGATCCAATCTCAGTTTTACAAGTTGTGGTGGATAGAGGACTTTATTAACTACAACTGTGGTGATGGAAGCATAGTCCAATTCGGAAGGGAAAGAAGCACTCTGTGCGCCCCAAGTAAGCACACTATGCGCGGAAGAAGAAATCACGCAGGAGCTACTGGAGGTGAGGCACGCTGTGTGTGGCACTTTTTCAGCGTTTTTGTGTGCTCCAGATGTCCCTTTTCAGCCAGAATTACTCTTTTTCTATTTAAACAGCCTGTAAATCCATATTTTTTATAACGGAGCTTAGAAAGAGGCCTATGATGAAATTTTGAGTACTCTTCCGCTTTGTTATTCAAGATCCTGGGATTATTTGTAACTTTTATCTTTTAATTAATGACAATTAATTCTTTTCATCTCAATTTTGTTGATTGCTCAAATATGAATTGTGAGTAATTTTAATTAGGGATTTGGAATTAATGAAGGGGTTAATCGTGATCTAGGGTTAATTTCTTAATGGTTTAATTGCATGATCTTTATTTATTTTTTGTGAATAATTTAATTGATATCTTTTGTAACCTGGAACGGCCGCTAGAATTATAATTGCACATAGAATAATTTGAGAGAGATCTAAATTATTCTAGGACACTTTCACACACACACTTAATCGTTCACTAAGAGATTAATAACGATTAGGGAGCCGCACGCTTGCTCGTTTTGGCAATAATTTAGGAACTTGTCGCATGAAAGATCAGCCTCCGGTTCCCTAAATTATTGTACTCTACGCCGCGAGAGCGGTAAGAACTTAGTATTACTAGTTTTGCTCAATTACTTAATTTTCTTGTGATTAAGCATGATCAATCAGAAATCTGATTACCCCGGAATCAATCTCTGTTCGGTATGGTCATTAATTAGAAAGAACTCATTAGTTTAATTTAGCTTGTTATTCGCATTTTAATTTTCCAACAAATCAAATCTCGCACAATTGCATTTTATTTATTTTATTTTTGTAATCGCTTAATTTATTTAATTCCTGATTCCCTTTTTTCCTCCTCTGTGGAGACGATACTCGTACTTATACCCTTTATTGCTACATATTTTTAGTGCGAGAAAACTCACATCATAGTCCATATTTGAGCCGGAATAAGTCTGACAGAATTCTAAGTCGGGTCTCAACAATCAATATTGAATATGTATAATTGTATTGAGGCCCAAAGTTTAGATTAATATCTAATATAATATATGATATAATATACTTTTTTATATAGCCAATATTTTGGGACACTTTTTATATAAAAAGTGTAGACGGTTCGGTTCAATACGGTTTTGGGACGGTTAAAAAAGTTTGGTACAGTACGATATTATATATTTTCCGGTACGCTCGATTTTGGTACAGTTCGGGATGGTTCTCGGTACGGAATAGAAAATTCGAGCGTGTTAACCTCTAGGCCTAAGTTATAGATTAAAAATGCATAGGGCCTCTGCAAGTACCGGGGACAAAGCCCCACTCTGTATCTGTCAGATTAGGATTATAGTCTAATTTACATCCTCCCAATATACCGTCCGATTGAGGTTGGAGGACCCTCAGGGATGGGGTGTCATCCTTTTTTTTATTAAAAATAATGAAAGAGTCTATTCGACCTTTTTGTCTTAATATGGAGTAAAATACTCTATATCTTTAAATATTGAATAATTATTGTAGGGTCAGCACATTTGTTCAATTCATCAATCTCATCCCATTCAAACAGTTTTAATATCAAAACCCCCTTGAAGTTGATGGCATCTAACAAATTTTGTTCCTCAAGCCGTCGTATCATGTTAAGCTTTTTGACTTAACGGCTTTTGACTTAACGTTGTGTTACGGCTTGGAGTATATGGGTCTGGATCCCAGGGCCCACATACTCAGGAGAACAGAAGGTACCACGATAACCTGGTGGGACCTTCGTCGGCCAGATGACCCACATCGGTTAGAAAGAAATCTACTCAGAATATGACCTAGAAGCCAGGAGAGCTGGGTGACCTCGTCGGCCGGGTCTTCGTCGGCTAATAAGTCCGTATTTAGACACGCATTTGATGCATGTTGGGATTGACTTGTGATGGTTTTCCTAGCTTTAAGATGTTACAAGTCTCAAATTTAGCTCAAGTTATGTTTAATAGGCGTTGGTTCGAGTTTTGTGTCATTTGGAGTCAAAATCAGGATTTTAGAGTTCGGCACTGGTGCTTGAGGAGAAATCAGGATGAATTGAGAAGCATTTGAGATTGATTTGAGAGCTATAGAGGTCAGCGGGAGGTTTATGATGAAGATTTGATGACAAAAGAGCACTAGGATTGGCTTCGGGATCAAAAGAAGATGAATGAAGCTTGAAAACGACGATCAGGATGACCTTCTGCCAATCGTTCAAGCATATCTCTTTGTAGAAATAACTAATGGACATGATTCAAGTTGTATATGAAAGACAGCTTTAAGGGCTACAAATCATATGAAAACACCATTACGAGAATAGGATAGCAAGAAGTTGAAAACAGATGATGAAATCAGATGATCTCTGCTGCGATTTCAAAATGACACCTTCCACCGTTTTGATCATATCTCTTGATTGGATGATTCAAATCACATTCGGAAAGTTAGGGTGGATATAGGACTTCATTATCTACAACTTTCATGAAGAAAATTTTGTCAAATTCGGACTAGAGAAAAGTCTAAAGAACACGGACGCACGACCGTGCGTGTTGGACGCACGATCGTGCGTAAGAGCCAAAACCGTGGAGGGGCTACTGCCTGCTACGCACGAGCGTGCGTAGCCCCGAGTTACACGCGGAAATTTCCCACATCGACCAGA